ATATATATATATATATATATATATATATATATATATATATATATATATATATATATATATATATATATATATATATATATGTCTCGAGTCAAATTCAATAGCACTTATCTATCATTCAAATGAATAATCGTACTTTAAGAATTTAACTATAACATATACTTGTTGAAGAATATTTATGTATATAATGTGGGATGAATTCGAGAAAAAAAAATATTGGTTTTTGGCTTTCTTCCATAACACGTCATATTTTCATTTTTATATCTACTTTTCAGAACTCCATAATTATCCCTTTCTCTATTTCCCTTTACGATCAATTATTTTTTCAATCTGATTCATTATGTTAAGAATGGTTTACTGAATTAGACCAAATCAAATTAATATTTTTTAAATTGTTTTTTAAAATATATAAAAATTGAAAAAAAAATAGAAGGAATAAAAAAATATTTTTATTGTTACATAAATTTATGAAAAAAACACTCATAACTTTAAGAATTTTTCATAAAATGCTCCTGGCTATGTGAAGAGATCATTTTGTCTCTATCTCCGTTGAACTCGTCATTGCTTTCGTCGAACACTGATATGAGGAAGGAGGAGGTGCGAGAGCTATTATTGTCATTTAACCTTAGGAAGGAGGAGGTGCCCACACCCTTCACACGAGGGTGAGTCATTGCCATATGCAACCCTCAACTCGAGCTTGGGCAATCCTCTCCGACACAAGGGATGTCGTCACCTCTACGATCCCCACTAGTCTCCATTGGGTGAGTAAAGGCTGATCCACCATAGAGTAGGAGGGTCTATGAAGACAACGATAATTCTTCTGTCCTCTTCTTCCTCGCACGAGGGTCATCGGTAAGCATTGGATAGCATAAGTAACGAGACTAATCGAGTCAGGGGTAAAATAATTATTTATAAAAGATATTATATGAGATTTTTTTTTAAAGTTGGATAGTTGTAACGGAACTTCCCAGGTTTTTTTTTTTTTTTTTTTTTTTTCAAAAATTCACTTTTATTTTTAAGTATTATTTAAGTATATATAAATATTAATTAATTTAAAAATCATTTTAGAAATTATTAACAAAAAATTAGAAAAAATTTACCTACAAGAAGGTTCGGAGGCTTCCACTTGTTCTGCTCGGTTCCCGAAACCTACCCTTCTTTCCCGACGCTGCCCTATCAGGAGCAGAGATTGCGTCGGCTTTGCAGGTAGATGGATCGCTTCAGATTGGTGTTGTAATGGCCGGCTTGAAGGCATCGAACGAAGGGGGTTTCTTGGGCCAAAGAGTTGCATCAGGTATTACTAATCGAATCCTCGCATCCCGCGGCTCCTTTACGCATCATCATGTGTTTGATTCCTTGGTCCTTCACGTTTTCGTGCTGTTGAAATGGTGGCGTTCTTGTGCCTGTTTATTCTCGTTGCTGTGCTGCTGTTATTACAACCCATTTGCCTATTGTTTTCTTTTTTATTGTGGTCGGCAAATTAGTTGGATAGTTGTCGTTTCTAAATTTTCCTCTCTCGATTAATTATTTCCCCCATTTTCTTGCCACATTCCACTGCAAAAATAGGCGTTACTGTAGCTATGTCTATGAGCCATTTCACGGTGGATTTGCTATGGAACCCAACAGAAGGTAGAAATGGCGTATCCTTTTGCTTGGTAGATCTCTTTCTCTTTTCTCCTTTTGAAGATGTTAGCTAGTTTGACCGGTAAAGATCTTGATAGTTTATCAGAAGCTTATGAGCTCGAATTCCATTTACGTCGCTTACCTTTTTAACAATCAATTAGATTAAAAAAATAGTTCAATAATTGATAACTTATAGAACCAAAAAAGGCGGCGTGGTTATCTCGCCCGTCGGTTCTCTACTCCTCAATCAACATGGAACTAAACTAAACGTGCTTATCGATACCCCTAGTAGGGGAGCTGAGATTTCTTGGGCCCTCTTTCTAGCACTATCTGATAAGTCATCATTTGTCTTTGACGTTCGAAGCATGATGACTCGGGAGGAATTGTCTGCTTTGGATGGGCATAGATAGTTTTGACCTTTCGGGGTGATGTGGGATTAGACATGCTTATCAATAATGTGTATGAAATTTTAGTTACATGTTGTTGATCTCTTTCTACTAAGTTAAAAATTTTCATATGGTGGTGAGATGTGTTAGTAATGATTGCATTATCAGATTTTACCCAATATTTCCTATGCACTTGGCCGTGTTAAGACTTAGAGCATCGCAAGCTTAATCTAATTTATCGCTTGCGCACATAGAATCTTATAATTAGGTACCATGTCACTTTGCTTTGTGGGAGGAGTATCAAGTCATATGAACTGTCTTTCTTTTTTTTTTTTTTTCCTTCCTTTTCTTTGCTTCTGAACCAGTAATGAGAAAAGCTCAAATAGAGATTATTATGGTAGTGGGGTTCATCAATTTTTAGTCACATTTAAAAGCATTTATGTGCCGCTAGAATTTAAAGGTTTTATAGATATGCAATGCAAAAAATGCCATTTTAGAAACATGGTCTTTTTAATACTTTAGGAATAGATCGGAAATTGTAATTTATTAACAACCATGATCACATTGCATCCATATTCTCGTAGGAGATATACAACATACTGTTGTAGAGGATGAAATGGACCACTTGGTTTCTTTTAGTTACAGACGAGATTCTACTCTCACATATGAATGTTCACAATTGCACTTGCCAGCACTCTTTATTCAAGATTACTACAAGGAACCCATAATTCCATGAGGATTAGCTGAATTTGCATATTGGATTTGCCTTCCCTAGTTGATGTTTAGTGCTGATACTGTGTCTAATTTATAGTGAGTAGCAGTATCGACTCCACCTTCGTCTGATGGCTCACCAAGCAAGCTATCAGTCTCCTTAGGTGGTACTCATTGATGTAGTTTGAGTTTCCTCAGCTTGTCTAGCTCTTCTGCCACTTCCTTCATCGGCGAGTGCTCTGACTTCCTGAATCAGTTCTTCTCCTTCCTCTTTTCACTTGATTATCCAAGATCTCTGATAGCCGCTTCTCCATCGCTAAAGTGAAAGTTGATGCAAGGGTCCTCTCTTCTTTAGATCTTGCGAAATAAAGTGCATTCTTACCAGTAAGCAGTTCTAGAAGAACCACACCAAAACTATAAACATCACTTCTGTCTGTTAATTGGCGAGTTTGAGGGTACTCAGGGTCTAAGTAATCCCTGGTTCCTTGCACCAAGGTGGCTAGCTGATCTTTATCCTTTGGCACTAGCTTTGAAGCCTCGAAATCGGAAACCTCTGTGATGAAATTTTCATCCAAAAATATGTTGGAGGACTTCACATCTCCATGAATAATTAGAGCTGAAGCTGTTGAATGTAGGTAAGCCAAGGCATCAGCAGACTCTTATGGAATCGTTAGGTGGGAGGGTACCCATGGAAAAAGGAGATATGATGTTCTTTTCATGGATTAGATGAAGCGACCCAAGAGCTTAACTATATTTTTGTGGTTGATTAGCAACAAGATAAGCATCTCTTTTCTGTATTCTTTCTTTTGGCTCTCATCAATAACCTTATATTTCTTTATGTCGACGACACAATTGTCTTCTAATATTCCTTTGTGAACAGTTTCCTGTCCTCCTCGCCCTAGGATATAGTTATTGTCAAACTTATATGTTGCCCATTATAGTTCTTTTGTATTGTAAATATCTTAAATGCAAGCCCTTGTTTCTCCTTGATCTCTTCCGGTAATTGCCAACCCCCATGTTCACTAAAATACTATGTGCAATTGTTTCTTTCTTCAATTTTTGATTTAGCGAGCACACTTAAGTGTACAAAGAAATTTTATTGGTGACATGCAAGGATTGCCTTTTCGGTTATCGGATCCATTTCGGCAATCTATTAGACTAATACGTATCGATCGATACCAGTGTACCAGCACATAGTATGTTGGTGTGTACCAATGTTTCGATGAGGAAGAAAAAGAGGGTGAAGAGGAAGGGATGGCGAAGGAACAAAGGAGAACGGAGGAAGAAAGAAGAAGAAAAAAGATTAGGATGTGAAGAAGGAGAAACAAAGGTAGCCACAACTAATAGCTAAAGTCAAGTCATTAAGCAAGCAAGAAAATTTGTAATATTCTCTAGCTTAATCTCATATCAAGATGGGTAAAAACTTAATGAGCATATTATTATCAACTTGGGTCTAGGCATTTTGGATCAATGGTTTAAGTCTGACGAGCTGATAGATCAGTTATCCTATTGGATTAAGTTGTTATGGTTATTGTAATGTCTCCTTTACGAAGAATTAAGCCAGTTTTGTCTATCCCATAACTCAAAACTTTAGTTTTTGGATCTCAGATTTGTAAATTTTTCTCATAAGAGATCTTTTGGATGTCTGCTCTGGTAAGAGTGAGATGCAAGATCTCACACAAAATGTCCAGAAGTAAGATTTCAGATAGCTGTTGGATAATAGGTTGCGATATGTTTGGTGTAGTCTGGTTGCCAAGATCTCACCAACTCTAAAGCTGGAAGATAGACAGTTGCCATTGAACGAGAGCCGATGGTGGCGAACTTTGGGTGGGTATCGGAGAAGGCTTAGAGTGTGGCCAAAACCAGTTGCCAGTGGTGGAGTTGGATGCGCTTGCCCTTAACATTATAGGGCTGCGACGATGTTATGATTTGATAGCATGCGTACTTGGCCTCGCGGCAGCCAGATAGATGTTTTCCATGATCTCCACGTTGCCTGGGAAGGGCCGTAGCGGGTCTCTTGGTGCAATCTATCACGCGGAGGGCCGATACGAAGTGGGTACGGGATGTTGGCCTGGCCGTGCGTCAGCAGATGCCGCTGCTGCCATCGTCGTCGGTAACTGGTACAGCAGAAGCATCGTAGCCTCTCTGTCTCTCGGTGTCACATAATTGAGGCTCGGTATGTACGGGTTTTTGGATATTAGGGGTATCAGGATTATGGCAAAGATGCCATAAATATATATATGCTTCTATCTTTGTCACACTGGCTTGGCCCCCTAGCCTCGTCTGCACATTCGCCCTTTGCCCTACTAATCTCACCGCCACCGCCCGCGCCCACTAGTCTCTCTTTCCTCTTCCGCTTTGCCTTTCCCATTACTTTCTTTCTCTCGGAGTTTTAGAAAGGTCAGGGTACCGAAAGCATTGGTCCTTCCCTCTATTACTAGAGGATATGGGCATCACAAATCCGTACTCCTCGTCCCTTTCTCTTCCCGTACTATTTGTATATTACCAGAGGAATATATGGGTATCACAAGCCGCCTATTACAGCAGCCCACAGTCCTCCCGTCTCGTTAGGAGTACGAACGGAGGACTTACTTGTTATGAAGACCACTTTTCCATTCGGGTGATGGCAGTCATCAGCTTAGCCGGAAAACATCGGACCTCCCCTTCTGGTTCGAGTCCCATTACCGATTTAAAGACAATTCTAACCAATTTACCCTACGCTTATTCGACAAAGCAACGGGACCCACACTTTCCCTTTGTCATCCTCTCCCTCTCCCACCTCTTCTAAGGCTGCCCACAACTGGGCCCCAGCCCAGCCTCTCTCTCTGATCGTTCTCACCACAGATCAATCAGGAACTGATCACCCTGGCTCTCAGATCATGCTCAAGTCATAAAAAAGAATCACTCTCTAATTCTTTATCTAAGGTTCTTTTATCTTTATTTTATTTTCACTGTCTTTTCATGATAAAAGAAGTAAAAAAGCTATATGTTAGCATCTGATTGGCTTGGATAGGATATTTACACTAACTTTTGAGCTTGAGATGATAAAAGTTCTATATGTATAGTACAAGTATGACTTTTACTGCCTAAGGTATTATAATTAGCAACTAGCAGCAGGTGAAAAAGCAGTTGAAACCCATTTCCTGGAGTATCTAACTTGCATGAAGACAGACATAATTTTGAGAGTGCATATTGTTATAACCCTTAGATATCTCGAATGTAATATATGCTCTACATCTTTATTCAACCTCAGGTAACCAAATTGAAAATGAAAGACGTGGTAATCCAAACCTATGTTTATGGCATTCCAAGTAAGAGATGAGAGATAGCCAGTCTTGTTAACAGAAATTCTGAAACCAGCAAATCACATACAAATAAATACACAAAGCATCGCATGTGCAAACAGAAGAAGAGAAAGAAAAGAAACGCTCACCAGCATCTAACCTGGTTGGAGACGTCCAGAAATCGCACACGGAAACCTTAAGAACACTAATAACCTGACCAGCAGTTAATAATGTACATTTCAGCCCAATACCCTAGAATATGCCAACTCCACAACTGGCTGAATAAAGGAACCCTCGCATAAACATGACATTGGCATCCTTCAAGTGCGGGTTCAGATCATGTGTTGGTCTTGAAGCTTGATCATCTTTGCCATCTTCTCTCTGGAAATGATGAAACAACTGGGACATGTCAGTGAATGATGTCTAGTAGTTCAGGTGAACAAAAGAAACAGATTCCTGTTTGTTGGAAAATAAAAAATATCAAGAAGATTTAACCGGAGAAATGTTACATGAATAGGGTGTTTATCGATTTATTTCATAGTATATAGATGTTTCCTTGCACAACAATCACATGCAGAAGCACTCACACCTAGAGAGAGACATCACTTTCTTTTCTTATAACTGGAGAATAAGCATTTCTACTGAGGTTCACTTACTGAACACCTAAAAAAGCCGCATGGATTAGCAGTCAGACAATAATGCAATAGAGTATGAAGCTCCCAAGTGTTCAAAAGATTAGTAATTTACCAGTAGAATTATGAGGAGAATGAGCTCCATTGCCTTTCGTGCTCTGCGGGGCTTGGGATGCTGATCTTTGGATGCGTGGGGTTGAGCTCTGCTTTCCGTTTTCAATAGGTAAGGAATGCCTTTTCTTAGGTTGGATATCATTCAAATCAGGGCTGGACTTCTGAGATGTAATAACATGGGCTTTTGCTTTTGCAGATGCAGTGGCTTGCATATAACCTGGAAGAGAACTACTGCTACTGAGCCTGGGTTCCTGATCAACATGATCGGTTTTAGCCATCCCAAATGAGTTATGCCTCATTGAAATCCTCAAACCCTTGGTTAAATTTTCTGTGCTACTTTTTCCATCCGAATCAATATTTGGATTAGATGGTGATCTTTTACCTACCAAATGAGACCTTTGCCTATGGGTATGCCTGCTATTATCCTTCTTACTCTTTTTGGCATTTACAGATACATCGCTAGATGGGGTTCCATGAAGATCAGTAGCTGTTGCATGACTTCTTGGAGTTCCTTGAGGCGAACTAGCTTGCCCTATCATACCTTCCAGATAAGTCTGCCCATCTGAAATAGTTGGCTCAGCTGGCTGTTGATCGACCTGCACCGAGTCGACAGAAGCATTCAAGTCGGCCACAGTCTGGTCACGTCCATCAGGTCTTTGTGGCATGGTTAAATCAGAACTGAACCTCGAGCCATCCTCATCACCACCCAAATGGGAAATACTAAAAGCATTCTCAGCATCAGCATTGGTGGAATGAATCTGTTTCTCCAAGGCCCCAATTTCAAGAACAATTTCCCCACCTTCCATTTCAGATCTGTCCAGTGAGTCAAGAGTGGAGGAGAGAGATATTTCAGTGCCACATTCTGAAACTGCAGCTTGAACAATTGATTCATGCAACATTGAGCTCTCTGCCGAAATTTCTTCTTTGCTGTTTGAAAACGAATCCACTTGAATATTTTGGCTCTCTGTTTTTGATTTTGATGCAACAATTTGAGAAACAGGAGTAACAGACTGATCGACAATTGATCTTGAACTCAGCTCTTCAAACTTCGACTGAGCTACAACAAATGCTGAATTGCATGGTTTCCTCGATCCAATAACAGATTTCTTTCCTTCGTTCTCCAGTGCTTCATAGGATGTACTTTCGGGACTAGGACTCGAGCTGTCTTTTGCACATTCAAGCTTATTAGGTATAGTCTCAACTAATATTTCTGAAGTTGGATTTGGTTGCAATTGTTTATTATCTGTTATAGAATTCAAACTTTCCTCATTGACCATCCAAGTTTCTGTATAATCTTCAACAGTGGTGTTCAAAAGCTCAACTTTGAGCTCTAAATGTTCTACATCATCCTTAAGTAAAGATTTGGAGGAATTCTCTGGGGCAATTTCCAAAGTTTGAAACTCAAAGTTTTCAGTGTTTTCTGTCATTGAACTACTTTTACCGTTACTCACCATGACTAATTCTGTTGGAGCAAACTTTGAATCAGATAATACTGATGAATCTGCAAGTGGGATCTCTTTAGCTGGTTCACTATCTGCCATTTTAGCATTCTCTTCTAATGGCCGACTAATATGGTTGAGATTTTGCTCCTGTTGCTGGCCTACTCCAGATGAAGTTACAGCCATCCATCTCTCCAACCACTTCCATGCTGAATCAGACTTTGATAGATCGCATTTTATGTAGATGGCTTTTGTCTTTGGTGTAGTCTCCAAAAGCTTGGAAGAAACACGTTATACCAAATGAGATTAAGAGATAAATCAAGTATATCCAAGATTAAAGATGATTAGCCATACCTGCCGAGCAAGCCCATTTGAAAGCAAATTCTTGATTGATGTTTTGTATGATTTCTCAAAAGAATCTCCCTTGCCCTGAGAAGGAATGTGAAAGAAGGAATATAAATCTAAAATCTAACTAAAATAAAAGCAACACATATCATGTTATATAGATATTAATAACAAACATCAACGACATTACTCAGTAGGCGTTAAACACAATTCACCATAGAATGCAGACTCTTGATGAAGAAACCCATTCTTATGCACAAACATAATTCTGGCATGCATTTACTTGCTGATGGAATCCAGATCACCTAATGTAAGCATTGCCGTCATAAAACTCGACATAATTAAAAACATTCTAGTTCACTTGGGGCCTTCAGACACATACAAGTGACATTTTGAGAAAAGGGATATGATATCTATTAACAGATGGAGTAAACACCACAATGGTCATGAGAAATAGGCAAAGTAATGTGCATAAAATGCATTAGTTAAACAATTGGAATAAAATAATATCAAGATCACAAATCACAGTCAGACATAAATATAGCTTTCCAGGAATGTCTAATGACCACATAGTTTAAAATAAATACATAAACAGGAAACTAAACTGTCAAGCTAAGGCCCATCCATAAGAATTATCATAGCTTCAAACACTCTCCAAGACCAAAACAAAATCATGCCAAGATTCTAGAAGCACTTGAAATGTTGTTTCTTACACAGTGATTGTCAAGTTAGTAATATGTCTGGCATTTTGGTATTCATGCAATAAGATACCATTAGATGGAACAACAGTAAAAGTGTAAGGATAACTGATTTATCTACCTGGAACTTCGTATTCTCTGGAGAAAACTTTTCAACTAATTGACAAGCATGACGAGCCCTTACAAGCGCTTGCATTCTAATGATAGCTTGAATACACCGCAAAGTTCCAATAGCCTGTTTTCTTACCAGATGTCCACGTACAGCAGCTTGCAACTTGACAATGCTCCTAAGTTTGTGGAACTTTTTCCTGGCCTAAAAATATCTAAAGGTAGAAAGTAGATACAAACAAGATGATGTAATAAAGATTCAGAACCAGGTAAAGAATATACCAAATATCCCCTTATAACAGATTGAACTTCAATAGCATCAGTGTCATTGAAGGCTGGAGCAACTGGATCTGTGTTTTTGTCAGAAGATGAACGATCTTCTGTATTTACTATGTCTGATGGTGATGAAGAGGTTTCAATTGGTCTTTCTTGCACTTGGGCTTTTACTGGGGATGAATACTTCAGTGAGTGGTAATTAGTATTTGAGACCTCTTGGCCTTGCTTGCTAGAGCAAACTGATATGGGTTCGGAGATCACAGTGTTGCTTAGCACTCTTTGCCTGGATGATTTTTTACGGAAACTCCACCTGTGTGTATCTGATGAAGTTTTGGCCTGAAAAAAGTTATTAGAAAATTCATTACCTACACAGCAATGATACCTATAAGAAAATAGGACCTGACAAACTAATGTGTCAACTTCAACATTTATGTGTGCTTGATTTCAGATCAGATAACAGAACCCTGATGTGACACCAAAGAAAAAAAAGGTTGTGCGGTAGGTGAAGCGAAGTTAGTGAAATATTCCATTAGGGTCATAAGTGGTTGATGAAGTTACCCCCAAAAAATAAAAAAACAACTGGCATATGTGCCAAAATGCTTTGACAAGTTGTCTCATTAGCTATAGAGAACTTAGCTTATCAAACTAATAACTAACTACATGTGCATGTATTGTGTTGCTTTTTGGTTTTCCATCCATGCAGTGCTTGAAAGGAAGACAGTTTTAGTGTTAAAGAACTCAGGTATGAAGATGTATCACAGAGATGTGACAACAACTCAGAGAAAAGAAGTACCACCTATCTGCTTAAATCATTATATATATTGATTACACTACCTCTAACTCCTAGTTTACTGTTCCATGATCCCAGAAACAGGTTGCTTCACATTAATGATCTTTATTTCTGATTGACTAACACTGGTTTAATCAAATATCTCATAATTATAAAAGCACATATTATACACTTTCACTTAAGTTTTATTTAACAGAAATAGTATTCAAGGCTTCCTTTTAACTAAAAATTGAAAGGAGTTCTGTCTTTTATACAACATAGCTATAAAACAAAACTCATGGTGCACTCCATATTTACCCTATGTGGTCCGCTTTCCTTTTATAAGGTTTGACAGAGAAAATAACCAATATGAGAAAAATAAGTGAGAAAAGTTACTTCAGAGTGTGATGCAACATCTAGATGGTATTAAGCGACACCAAAACTAAGACAGAAGAAAATACACATGAACTGGCCAGGCACTAGGATGCAGTCATCTACAGTACTGAGCAAAGTTCCAACATGGGTTACTGTTTAACTTCTTGGCAAACATTCACAAACTGACTAATTCACATGCATGTATACGGACAGTTAGGTCTGGCTAAGAAGTGAGAAGGCACATTTAATTAATTAAACAGCATAAAAGATTTTCTTACAACGACCAGATTGTCAAACTCCAATTATAAGACACAAAATGGCACTACACAAATAATTGAAGCCGTAACCAGTTTTGGTCAAACCTACCAACAGAACTCCAAATTGAAGACCCACTTTATTGAATATATCGTGGAATAATTACAGAGGAATGCCAAAAAAAGAAAAGCTGGCATATTACATGTTAAATTTAATTAACAACAAAGAAACAACTTTTTTTATTGAACACCATCTGCACATATGAAAAGAAAAGATAAAATCAGTGATACTGTATACTTAATGGAGATAGTCCAAGACATAGACCTGTGCATAAACATCAATTTTTTATTATTAAGGTCCAAAACTTTGTTGGATAAGACACCAAAAAAGGTGGATAGTGAATTCATATACTACACTTACATATAGCCCATGCCTAGTAAGAAACTGTACTGAGGTATCACATATTTACACACTATATTTTGTATTGGCAAAATGAACATGCAAATTTTCCTCAAAATAACAATAGTCCCTTTTTTGCCTTAAGGTTTCCAGAGGCAGAGATTTTAGATCATGATTAACATAATTTATTTTTTAGTATGTAGTTTCATGCTTATTTATGACCTTATAGCTTTGAAATCTTTATTTTCCTGATGGATACCAGCTTAGCATATACTAATCTTAGTTTGTAAAACAAAAGAAAAACATCATCTCCCAAAATTTAATGAAGATATATTTCTACCATCTTTCCATGAGGGAACCTAGAAACCCACTGTGATGTCATCCTCGAGCAATTGCAAATATACATTGGCTAGTAATCAGTCATCTACAGCCTTCAAGCAATTGCAAATATACATTGACCAATTGGTAGACTTTAAGAGAAGGAACTTGATCAAAGAATACGTCTAATCTCTAACTGCAATCAGACATCTACAGCCTTCAAAATTCAGGAGTATAATCAGTCTAATATAGCATATTGCACCAACAGCTCATAAAAGCGAAAAGAAATATGGGCTACATCCTCTCTAGATTTTCCGTTAATGCAACATGTTTCTGTGTAAGGCCATTGATATTGCCTCTTCCATTCACCAGGTTGAAAGTGTGTAATTAGGATCTGCCGTGACAGATCTATGTCAACCGTATTCGAACATGCTCTCCATTCCAACAGTTGGAATGAATTAACATAGTTAAGGCGCAGCATAAATGGACTTTAAGACCGTAGTCAGGAGCTTCCATCTAAGATCAACTTGAAATGATTTCCATCTCTGTTATCAGATCCATACGACAGAGAACATCCACCTAGTGCTGTGCGATCATCAAGATACAAACCATCAGCCTCATCGACCCCCACCCGGATCCTCAGCCTAACAAGTAACCGTGCAAACTAAACAGAACATACATCTAACGCAGTCTAACAGTGGAATTAATTAAAGAATCTGTTGATTTGGTCAATATCCCTTATGAAATGGCACTCGAGAGATCCAAGTCATCGATCTCAAGCAAGGCCAAGTTGGATCACACATTCCACCACCATTTTCATCAAGGATCCACAGCAATCGCACCAATTCCAGCTCGAACCGCGTCGCGATGGCTATGATACAGAAGTCAAGCAAGCAGGGAGGACCGCAGTCATAACCAAAACCAACAGATAATCCGAAGTAGCCAACCAGATATTACCTCTTCCGGCTCGAGATCGTCGTCGTCAACGGCATCCCTCCCACCGCAGCCCATGATCTTGAAGCATGAGCTCGAGGACTTCCCCATCTCCAGCCTCCTCCTCCTCCTTCTCTTTGCCAATCCTTCTGGACTCGGATTCGCGTTTGGATTAGGTATCCTCTTCTCTATCGAGAAAGCGGAACAGCGAGGGAGAGCAGAGTACTCCCTTTCGTGCTCTCACTCCACCAGCGATCAATTACAGCAGAGCGGCGTCAAAGTGTCGGAATTTAAAACCTCCTCATTAAATTCGTTTAAATCCCGCCTCTTGGCGTCCGATTCCGACGCGTCCCCGTGGGACCCGCTGACATGAGTCGTGGGTAAAACCAGTGAGGCGTCACGTTTAGAAGCTCTTATTTCATGTCAAGCATCCGGTGACCGCACTTGCCGCGGCCGCCATGCCATGCCCGAATGATGTGATGCGTGCCGTAAGTTGGGGGCGGTAACGACACCGCGGGATCACCACTGAAAGTACCGGAACGCTAACGGCAGAGGGAATCGTTGGGGGCGGTAACGGTCCGCTCGGGTCGTTGTCAAGTAGTCGATCACCAACCGTGGGGCACAACGCCGTTGCGTCGCGATGATGACGACTGGCAATAGTCCTCGATCCGCCGGTCAGCGCACGGCGACGCACGAGTTGGGCCGTCGCCAATATGAGGATATGGATGATGACGAACATTAATAATGATATAAATAATAACATTATTATTACGTTGAGGTTTAATGATGGGACGTATATTGTGGGGGCAGTGACAGCCTACACTCCATGTTGCTTGTGATAGAAAAAAGAGAAGACTTAATGCTTTAATCTTTGGTGGAGCAAAGCTGCGGTCATGCCTTAATAAAGACCTTTCAGCTATATGAGCGAGAGATGCGAACCAGTGATGGCTCTAAGCAAGCTTGCTTTTCTTTTTAGCTCTTGCTTGTCTGCTGTTGTGTCACTGAGGGTTTAAGCGTCGTCTTCGAAGAGAACAAACGAATGGAATCTGCAGCACCAAACTACAAGGAGGAGATGGAGATCAGCTGGATGTCAACCGGCATAGTTCTCTGTGAAGAGTGTCTCGTACTAACATGAACGAGTCAAGCAATCTGGAGTTCAATCACGCAACGAAGCTTGAACAAAATCTATCGTTTCAGGGCTAATGATCATCCTATGATTGCCTAATCAAACACCTAATCATTGAGATGAAGGCATGGACCGAGGAGTTTCTTTAAGAGCAGCTCAGATAAGAATGCCATGGCCGGTGGATGATTGGGGTGTTTAATAAACCTAGAAGAGAGTGGATGACCCAAAACCCACTGCTCCTGTCGCCAAAGCTTGCTGCAAGAGGACGAGTTCCGCTCATGTGCCGCCACAAAGTACGTAACTTTGCAGGGGATGGTTGAGAGGAGACGGCAACAATCTGTCTCCGCGGCCTGAATGCATCACCATTGGCCCCCAAATAAAGAAAAGAGGAAGCATGAGCAAGCAATGGAGAGAGAGAGAGAGAGAGAGAGAGAGAGTCTCGGTGGCACATGGGTGGGGAAGAAGGCGAAGGTTTGTTTATGGCACCTCGCCGGTCACCTTTTCCTTCAAACAATGGAGCTCAGAGACAATGGAGCCATTACACATGACATTCTTTTAGGTCGATATAAATGCCACACTTTCACAGCACGTAAATTCCGAAGCCATCAACACGGCCTCTACCTTTGTACATTTCAAAGAGCACGTACAAAGAAGGATTGGTCTGATGGGGGATAAACCTTTCCATGTACAATGATCGATACGTCCTTTATATTATCCTACATGTATAGTGGTTAGGCATAAATGCCAACTTTAGTATATCTCGCCCACATCTGTGAATGATTGGTATTGTAGGATTCATTTATATGTATACACATACGAGAAGTTCACAACACTGTTCGTGTATTTGTTAGGAGCGGTGAATTTGCATCACATCAAGCGGGATGATTAAAAGGGATTGACGGTTGTGATGAAGTCGTCGTTTGTTTGACTTAACTGTCACTAAGGGCATTCTTGTAGTTTTTTGCCTATAAAGCCAACCCGCCCTTTCCTCACCAACGGAGAGCAGTGGAGGAGGAATGGAGGGATGCAGCAAGATCCGGCACATAGTACGGCTGCGGCAGATGCTGCGGCGGTGGAGGATGAGGGCGACGGCGCTGTCGTCGTTGTCGAGGAGGAGGAGCGGCGGAGCGGCGCCGTCGGACGTGCCTGCGGGGCACGTGGCGGTGTGCGTCGGGAGCAGCTCCCGACGGTTCGTGGTGCGGGCGGCGCATCTCAACCACCCCGCTTTTCGGGAGCTGCTCCGCCAGGCCGAGGAGGAGTACGGATTCTCCTCCCACCCCGGCCCCCTCTCCCTCCCCTGCGACGAGTCCCTCTTCCAGGACCTCCTCCGCCTCATCTCCTCCTCTTCGAGCTTCACAGATTATGATCTCGAGGACTTCGACAATCTCCCCCGCACTTCTTCCTGTTGTTGCCACGTAGGACGGTGGCGGCCCGTTGCCGATTCACTGCCGCTTCTGCACCGCCACCGCCTTCCTCGCGAAGAAGCCAGTCTGGTGAGCTGAACTCCTCGTGCAGACGAAGCCTTTCGCTTTGCCATTGAATGACAATGAACCCATCTCTCTCTCTCTC